AACACAGCCCTGACAGCAACTCTGACATATCGAGATACCTATAGAGGTACAACACAGAGAAGTGTGAGGTATGCACATTGATATGTCTGTGTGCTAAGCCATCACACTAAACCACTTAGACCAATCTGTAGGTGCACACAAGTGTGGAGGATGTTTGCTGAGGAGGAGGAATTACCAGTGGCATCTCATATTGCTGTTTTTGGGCCTTACTTTGTACTGTGCTGAGCTTTGTCAAAAACACCCACAAAAACAAGAGCAGGGAAGCCAAGAGAAGAGAAAGCACATTACTAACAAATGGAAGTTAAGAGTAGTATACAGAAAAAAAAGGCAGTTCTAAAGCAGAAATAGAGGTAAAACACCTGTTCCTGAAGGATCGGAGGGTTGACACGAAGCAATTCCATTGGGCCATGAATCGCTGGCAGTGCATGGTCTGGAGCAGTGAAATCGGGGCGCAGGGGTGGGTGTTGACGGCAGGGAGAGGGCTGGCAGTGCCTGAGATCCCCGAGGGGGTGTGTGCGAGGTGCTGTAGGCGGTGTGGGCTGTGAGGGAGGTGACAGCTCTGAAGGCTCTTACCAGCAGAGTTAAGCGACAGAGAGGTAGAGGGAGACTGGGCAGTTGGGGCAGGACAGCGGCCAAGCTGCGGGTGAGGTTATGGGGCAGAGGAGGGCGGGCGGTGTCCGGGGGGCCCCGGAACAGTGCGGCGGCCCCGGGCAGGTCCCCTCAAGCGGCCGCGCCCGGGTCTGACAGGGACGCGCTCGCGCCGAGGGCGGGAACCCACTCTGAGGCTCGGGCGGGGGCCGCGGGCACGCGCTGAGGAGTGGGGCCCGGGGGCATCTCGACCAATGGAGTGCGAGGAGGGAGGGGCGGGGCCTGCCCGCCGCGAGCAGGGAGAACGTGACGGCCCGCGGGGGGGCGGAGCCGGTACCGGCCGGGCGGAGCTCTTACTAGGCGGCGCGCGCAAGCTCTGCTGGGTGACCCAGTGGCCTAATGGATAAGGCATCAGCCTCCGGAGCTGGGGATTGTGGGTTCGAGTCCCATCTGGGTCGCGCCGTGCTTGTTTTGTGGCGTTGCCGCCGGTGGTTCCGCAAGGCCACCCCCCGCCCGGGACCCCCGACTCTTTTACCTGCAGCCGCCCCGGGCCTGGCCTGGCCTCTGAGCTCCTTCGCTGTCCCGGACATCGCGTCCGGCCTGGGGTAGCCGGCCTGGGGTCGCCGCCCTCTCCGCGCTTCATGCTGTTTTGCCCAGGTCCGCTGGGAAAGCTTTTCCATCTCCACTGCTTGAGCATCCCGGGGCTGCTGGAATGCTGGGAATACTCCAAGCACCACTACTGTGCTGTTAATGGAGATCCTGTCCAGGTCTGGGGAAACAGTGCAGACACAGCCATACATGAATGAGGGTTGAATTGGACCACCATCTAATTCAACAGAAGAATCCTTGGAATACAAGTCTATGGGATGCTCACATGTGCATGCATCCATCCATCCATCCATCCATCCAAGCACTCACACTCCAGCTTTTCCTGCTTGCTGCAGGTACCTGCTGGTCACCAAAGCAGTGTAGGAGCCCTCCTCTCCCTCATCCTCAGTTTACATTCCTATTCCTGTAATAGATATCTTGGGATAGTTCTGGAATTAAAATGTTTCAAATAACAGAGGAAAACAAGGATTAGTTAGTGCTGCAGTAGAAATGTAACTCCTTGATTAACAGATGTGGTGAAATGTCATTTGTATGTTAATGTATCTTCACCCATCGCTGCTGGAGACAAAGCCCTGAGCTTTTGGGAATCTATTTAAATGCTTAATTCAGGCAGGACAAAACAAACTGGTTAAACTAAGCAACACTGAATCCCATGCCACAGGCATTGCTGAAGGTTAGATTTTCTGTCAGGAGTGGGTTTCAGGAGCCTTTCAGTGCCTTTATGGAGTTTTTAAGTTGTTGATTGTCCCTTAAAGTCAAGAACAGCTTCCACAGCACCCGGCAGCAGCTGGTGAGTTAAACTGTCACAATGGAAATCTTGTGTAGCAATAAGGTCACTTAGAAATAAGCCTTCTTAATTCAGTAATCCAAATCAGGGTTGGCTTGGTGTGTGAAAATTTGCAGAGTTCTTCATGATGGCTAAGAGAGATTTAAAAATAAAGCAGTGTGGGATCAGCAGAGCTTTCCCTTGGACTGGAAAGTCACTACTGCATTTTTCAGTCTGAAAAGAATCACTGAAACTGGTTCCTGAAACTGAAAGAGGAGATTAGCAGCTGTATCACTGAAGGTGGCCAGAAATCCCCAGATATGTTCCATTGTCATGCACATCCTTTCCAGACCCTGCATCCCAGGGTTCTGGTGTGTTCCAGAATCTCCCAGTTCCCTTCCAGAACACAGTTCTCCATAGCCAGGAAAACCAGGCTTGTGCCCTATGATTTTTCCCCTACAGAGTGCCATAGAAGGGCAAGACTGTCCCCCAGATAAAAATCTGCTGCCAAAACCGTGTGTGGGTGTGTTATTGCCAGGACACAGGTGGTGCAGCCAGGGGGTTGTTCCCGATGGGAAGGATTCCTCCCAGGCAGGGGTGGTGGAGGCAGCAGCTTGGTCTTGCTCCAGTGGGTTGTCCAGCGAGTGATTCCCGTTTCCCCTCAGGCTGCCTCTCATTAGCATGAATCAGGGGAAGGGCATAAAAGACTCCAGTTCATTTTGAGTCTGGAAAATCTTTACTTCAAAATGACAACTCAAGTGTTCTGGCTCCTCTGTTTTGTCATTAGATCATCTTCTGGTAAGTCTGCTACCTTCGGAGCGGGGCTGGGGCACGTCTGCCTTGGGAATCAGGGGAGGCTGAAGACATTCCTACAAACCCTTGCCTGAGCAGCCCCCCAACCTTTTCAGCAAATAAGGGCTCAAAAAATAAATATTTCAATGTCTTTGTGGGATGGGAATGTAAATTGCAATATTTTATTTACCAGCATTGGGAAAAATTAAGGGCACCTGGCAGAAGCAGGCAGGGAGCTGTTGCTCTGTCCTGCCAGCCACCAGTGGCAGGTGAAGTTGGATTTGTTCTGCATCTGGGATTTTTATAATTTTTATGTGACCTTTCTCTTTTAGTCTCCTTCACCTGTAACTCCAGGTGTCTGACTGACTTTAATATGTTCAGTGTGCCCTGTGTGCCTGCAGCAAGCTGTTCTGAGTGGATTTATTTGGGTTTTAGTGCCTCGCTGACAGAACAGAAATAGCATTTACATCTGTTCCACTGGGATTTGGTTATGTTACAGTAATGTTTCTTAGGTTGCAACAACTAGACAGGAATATGCTGGTGCAGGAGGAAGAACCTCAAGGTCCTGAACAGATTGAGTAGAGAAAAATGAACTATATACTGATACAATCCGTGACTGAGAAGGCGTGATAAAAGTGCTAGAAGAGTTTATTTACACACCCAAGTCTGAGACACCTGTTCAAGAGGGCACAGCTCCACACTGAACCATCTCCAAACCCCCCTTGCCTGCTGCTTTCAGCAGCTTGGACTTCTTCCACCCCTCTCTCCATGGACATTCTTTTGACTTTACATGTGGCCAGCCCAAATATCAGAGAATCTTTCCCATGACAGCAGCTGGTGAGAGCACAGGGGGAGAAGTGGCAAGGTCAGCAGTTGAGTCAGTTATAGGAGATAAACCAGGATATTGTTCATCTGTGTATGTCAAATCTCTCTTTTCACACAAGGAACTTGGATCAGCCTCCCACACAGAATAACCACGGCCGTGAACAGCAGACAGAGGCTGTGTGTGGGTGAGCTGTGTGAAAACTCTGCTGGCTCACTCCACACATGCAGGGAAGGGCTAAAGGAAAAGGAAAATGGACTGCCAGAGGAAATTTCTCTCCTGCCAGGCTAAACATTTTGGTCATTTTGCTTTGTGAGGTTCAAGAGGTCAAAGTGAAGGTATAAATGAAAGTGTAGGTGACTGCCCAGCTTGTGTGAACAGTGCCATTATTTTTTTCCTTCACTTTTCACTTCTTCTCTTTCTCAACCCTTGCCCTCTTAAATTAAGCAAAGCCTTGAAATAATTGTTACTCAGCAGCACTAGCCTAATTACTGCTACTATATGCTCAAGTCATAGATCCAAAACTGTGGATAAAGACCTTTCCAAAGCTGCTGAAGAGTTTGGATGACACTGTCAACAGGCATCCCATGGATGGGAAAACCAAATAGTTCTGCTGTCATGGTCTTTTAAACAAGCATCCCAAATGGCAACGTGAAATCTTGTTTTCTCAGATGTTCCCTGGAGATTCAGAGGTTTGAGAAAAGGGTTTGTTTTTAATTTGCAACAATAATAAAGTAAAAATGCAAATCTCCTGTTTTGCTCACACAGCTGCATTCCCTGTACTGGAACTTCAATATCTGAGTAGAGGAATGAGGAGCTTTACTGTGCTTCACATATTGAGCTATTTATTAATTTTTTTACCTTATTGTTGAAGACCTCACTTACGGATTAGAGCCTCAAATATTCCCATTCTAAAGCACTTGGAATAAAAGACTTAAAACACCGGTTTTCTCTCTCTCTCTCTCTCTCTCTTTTTTTTTTTTTTTTTTTTTTTTTTTTTTTTTTTTTTTTTTTTTCATGTAGGATCCCTGCCCTATGCTGAGAAACCCGGCCAGGCTCTCAGCAAAGACGTTTTTAGCTCAGCAGCTGCTGCTGCTGTTCAGGTGAAAGCTCCAGCGCAGGGCACGGGCAGTGCCAGCGGGAATTCCAGGGAAGGCCGGCTCCAGGGAAATCCTCCCGCCCACCCGCAGCGGCCAAGGCCCCCGGGAATCCCCTCCCTCGCCTCCGACAAGAAGAAACGCGCGGAGCCTTCCCTGGAAAACAGCACAGGGCTGAGGAAGCACCTCGGGCAGCACCTCGGGGTCCTGGTCCTGGGCAGCCCGGCCCAGGGCGCTGCTCCCGGCCCGAGGGACGCCGGCCAGGCCAACAGGCCCCACACGGAGCGGCGGCGGGCCCAGGCTGCCAACAGCGTCTGGGCCCGCGGCCTGCGCACCGCGCCCGCCCACACAAAGGTGACGGCCCTGCTGCGAGCTCACCCTTCTCCAGACTCTGCAACAGTGGTGTCAAACGATCCTAACACGCTGCACCGCCCCAACCGAGCGGGGAAGGCAATTCCCTACAAACACCCCGATCCCTTCACGAGCATCCCCAAACCCTCCTGGGTCACCAACCGCTGGGCACCCGGCTCGATGTACCTGGGCGTGCTGAGGAAAGGTAAGGGACAGGCTGCCCAGAGCTTCCCAAAGGCGGGGGGCACAATGGGCTGAGAGATCCCCAAAGGGCCCGTTGCTGTCCCTCAGGCTGTGCTCCTGTTGTAGATGGTGACAAGGAGAAGATGTGTCTGACAGAGTGCAGGAAGGAGCAGGATGAAGTGGAGGCTTTCTGTGCCAGCGAGTTTGGTAGGTGGTGTCCCCCTCAACTCATAGGGACAGAGCACTTTCTGTCCACTTGGAACTGATACTGCACTTCTACTTTTAAAATACTGTGATTAAGATACAAGAAAGTATGTGAAATAATTACCACGTATTTGAAAGGGACCCAACACATCTCTTCATAAACACACATTGCCTTTTCCCTACACCTTGGGCTAGTACTGTCCTTTCTTCTGTTTCCCCTGGAGGAACAGTGTCCTTGGGACTGGTCAATGGAACTGAAAAGACCAATTGTTTTAGATACTCTCAGATTAAACACAGCAGCTGGGTTATTTATCTCTTCCTTTTTAGAGCAAGTTTGATTTGGGGGATTGAAGTTTGAAATGAAAATAAAATGGTGAACCAAACAGAAATAAGACTGTGATCCTGTCTCTAGAGAGGATTCTTGAAATTCCTTTGGATTCAGTGTCTTCAGTCCTTGTGTTCACATTGATGTAACTAAAGGTGGCACAAAACAGCCTGGTATTATTGTACAGACTGCTTAAGGACAAGCATTTTCTGACTGAAATCCTGCCTTGTGCTTACAGAGTTGTGAAACAGATACCAATTTTTTCTCACAGTATTTTAAGAGATAAAGAAAATACAAACCCAGTGGTAACAGATGTTTCCATTTGTAGAACATAAACACGTTAAGAGACATCTGTTTTCTCTAAATGGAGAAGTCAGGAAGTGCCTTCTACAAATGCTGTCCTGCTTTGGTTTTTACCACTCTCACACATTCCTGTCCAATGTGGGCTTCACAGCAACCTGACTTCTGTGTGTTTTAGCCCTTAACCAACAGCTCTGCTCCTAAATTGAAAGAACAGGTAGGAAAAAGTCTGAGCAACAGATGAGCCAAGGTTCCATGGCAGCGATCAGAGTGCTTTTTCTTTTTTTACATTTACAGTGCAGATAAAAGAATTAAACGACTGACTCAGAGTTCTCACCGTGAGGCAGGTGTAACGCCAGGTGCAGTAGCCCCACTAACATGGTGCTGTTTTCCCATCCCTGCACTCAGCTCAGCACTTGCCAGAGCCAGAAACTGGGAGAACAGCATGAAGTGATTGAGTTCCCAACACAACCTACTTGGTGCTGTTGTCTCTTGGTATGACAAGGGCCTTTTATTTCAAAAGCCAAAGTGTTTCAAAACCAGCTTGGCTTTGTACTTCATTGAGAAGTTTTAAATTTCAAAATTTTACTTTGTTAGGTAAATATGCCCACTTTTTATATATCAGGATAGAAAATCGTACTAAATCATTGCTTTCTTCACTAAAAAATATCTCAAACCTGTAAAACAGAAGGTTTGCAAAGCAACAAAACTTCAGGCAATGACTTCACCAAGTGCGATCATTTGAAGCAATTCCTACTGCCCACTCCTGAGCCAAAGGATACCTGCTGACACTTCCTTTACAGCATTTTAAACAACAGCCTTCACACATACCCTGAAAATTGCCATGATATAAAATCTGATCCTATTTTTCCCTCTCCCTTAAAACAGCAGTGAATGGAATTGTTTATAACCTGGAAAGCCTGGGGAATGGAGTCCAGTGGATTACCCTCTTGGTAGACAGTGATGGATTGTACAAGATGAGTCGCCTGTATGTCACTCCGGATGCCGCCTTCTTCCGAGTTCACATCCTGGTTGTGGATACTTTAAACTGCAGTAAACCATGCCCAGACTTTAAACTTGGTAAATCATTCCAGCTAAATCCATTCTGCTATTCCTCTGCATGCACTGCAATCTTAATCTGCCTTACTTTAATAGGCTTAGCCTGGGTTGTTGGGAAAATCTGGAAGAAAAGTATTTACTCAAAGTTGAGGCCTTTTTTTCCATCCAAGTTTCTGAAAACTTTCATAAGAGAATCAACTGCATGAGGAAGTCAGGTACCAGTGTAGCTCTTTCTTAGTTCTGTCCAGTTCCAAAATGATGGCAAGGATTCCTAAAACAATACAAGCAAGAGCTTAAGCTGGTGTCTTTGTAAGTCATTCAGTTTTCCTTTTAAGTGCAAGTTTATCAAATACCAGCATTTCCCCTGATAGTAAATCATTATTTCATGCCAGCACCACCTCCAGGTGCCAGCGGAGCTCAGGGTGCTGCTGTGGAAGCCCCATGTTCAGGATGTTTCCACAGGCGCAACTTCACATCTGTTCCCAACCCTGGTGCCCTCAGAGTGACCTCCCATTCATTCCCTGTGGCTCAGCAGCCCTGTTTGTTTTTGTTGTTGCAGGCAGCAGGTACATCGTGATGGGGCACATCTACCACAAGCGCCGGCAGGTGCCCGCCGAGCTGCTGCTGGCCCTGGGCGGGCGGCTGCGGCCAGGGGACGGCTGGGTTGGGAGCAGCAGCAGCTACGTGAGGAGATTCAACAGGAAAAGGGATCTCAGGGTGAGGGCAGCGCACTCCAAGTGTCCATAAGGCTCTGAGGGCTCCGTCCAGGATGTGGGAGCAGCAGGATCCACCCCCAGAACACACCTGGCTGTGGGGCAGCGCTCCCGTCTGGAACCGCAATCCAACACCTGCTTTTGTGCTTTAGTGAACACTGGGTGCCTCGAGCAGGCACCCTTGGTGAGGTTCAGCACAGAAGTCAGTCTAGGGAATGTTAACTGGCCCTGAATTTGCTCCAGCTGCTTTCAGAGCCACAGGTTAGTGTTGCTTCCCCTGCTGCAGTGTGCCCCAAATAATCTGTAGTAAGTGTAATGCAAAATTCTGGCAGCTTCATCCTCAGTAGACAAAAACTGCACTTTGAACCCTTTACCTTGAACAGATTATATGATGCCACAACTTTATCTACACAGGATGTTCACTGTGCTTTCACAGTTCTGCCTAAAGTATCACATGCATTTGATTTCAGAGAAACCTACACCACTAAGTACCATTTGTATTATTTTTGTCTCCTCAACCATGTCCATGGTATTTTTGAAAATTACACCATTATTCCGGCAGAGCTGGATGTTCACACAAAGCATACAGAATAGAGTGTAATAATTTGAGTATATGAACACACTGACTGAAAGCAAATCAAGAACTGCAAAACATAAATGGCCAGTTGCATTTACAAGTGACAGCGCAGGGAATGCAAAATGAGCATGGGCTGCACACACTGGGTGTGCCTGGGCACTTCATCCCAGAGCTGTGCTGAATGCCATTCCCCAGGAGAAATATTGCCAAGCTTGTACTTGCACAAGAGTGAAGTTACTTTTTAAATCAAAAAGACAGTATTTTAATACCTTTAATGTGGTGAAATTGAGATGTTTGTTGTTCCTGGTCAGTATTCGCAGATAATAAGTCTGTAAAAGAAACTAATAAAATGCTCATGAGGTTCTGCTTTCACTGTCCTCTGGGTTCTGGAAGACCCAAAAAGCTTATGTAATGATATTGCACAAAGGCATCTCCTTGTGCAACAACCTGCCTGAAGATTTGATACATATTTATATCAAGAAATGTAAAAATGCAATACAGCTTAAAACCCCACATACACAGTGATGTGATGTGACCTGCTGCAGGAAGCAGTGGCTTCTAGAGATGCATTTTCTTTTTTGCAAGCAGGTAGTTCTGACACACTGTACTTGTCACACACGTCTGCAGCTTCATTTAGTGCCACTGGAAAGCCAGGGAGCAGGGGATGGGACGGGCTATGCTGCATCAAGTATTTCTTGATATGGAGCCAATACCAACAGCAAACATCCCGTATTTGGCACCCAAAAGGCTCTCACTGGAGTACAGAAATTTACTCATAGCATGAATCTACCTAAAAAATACCATGTCTCGCTTTCGGTATGTGAAAGACTTTGCACGGAGAACAGCATGGATTCATGGAATTTTCCTGAGAAAATCTGAGGGGGTTTTGATTTGGCAGAAGGACTGTTCTGGCAAAGTATCAAAGCTCTGGAGTGACTGGGAGGGACAGAAGGAGGAAGGGTTACATGTACATCTCGAGTTTCTTTGTTTCTATTTTCAGGGGAAGTCCAGAGACTAAGCAGCAACTCCTCCAGGCATACCCTGCCCAGAGCTATCCTGCTCCAAGCCAGGGAAGTGTGGGGACAAACCCAACATGTCTGGGAAGAGATAAGCACAGGACGCCAGTGATAAGGACATCCCAATCCTGAGCTCAGTGTCTGTAACTGACACAAAACACTGGGATAGAGATGTTGCTCTGGGAGCCTGAAAAGTCATTTATCCCATGTTATCGTCCTCTGTTACTAAATCCTCTTACCTTTCCCTTCTTGATTGGAAAGTCCCTCCTTAAAATGTTCCCACAGTAGCTGAGCAACAAATCCCTGTCTGCCACAGCTGCACTGAGACTGGGCTGGAGCAGGAGCAGGGCTGTTGTAACCAGGCTCATCACATACTAAACACACCTCCTGAACAACAATCGCTCGATTGAGAGGATTTCCAGTCTTGCACTTTCTATTCCAAAACCCTCCCAGCAATAGCCACACTGGGAACTGGATGGTACTCACATTCAACAGCTGTCATGGTAATTTTGGTACCTCACAGTCAGTAATTTCCTTTCCAGCAGGATAAGCATGGAAAATTCTGCCACCACCTCACAGAAATCTGGGTGTAAAGGAGCAACTGTTCTCATCCCATCTGTCCAGGGGTTTATTCGAGCCTTTTGGGTAAGCCCAACTTCTTACTGTACTTTAAATCTTCGTTAACTTCTGCGTGAACTAAATTGAGGATAATTGCTTCAAAATTGAGGAGACAGAAAAGGAAAATCAAGCTGGCACAGCTCACATACCATTATCATTCAACATATGACCATTTTGAAACAACTGTTGCAGTAATTTATAAAATACAAAGAGGACAAGGATTGAGCAGAGATCACAAACCTTATGAACTTTATACTTGATGGCAGGTGGGGATTAATTACAAGTGATCTATTTTCTGTAACACCATTTAACTATAAAACATCACCACTACTAAATCCAGAGAAGTAGCCTGACCTGCCCAATGGCAACTGAACACACTGAAACAGGCTCTCATGGAATCACAGAATGGTTTGGCTTGGGTGAATAATCAGCAGCATTCAATTGCATGTACAGATTATTTCCCTAATCAACCTGATTCAGTTACATATGATTTGGCAAAACCAAGACCTATATCCAATAACATTATCAATGTTTCATTAGAAACACCACTGAATCCATGTCAAACACATTACTTTATTTGTCTAGGATGATGTGTCCTATAAGGTACAAAAAAGTACTCTTCAGTTTGCCACAATTTGTTAAAAACAGCAATCTACTGCCTACAGGTAGGAAAGGTTTAAATCATGTCAATATGGATTTAGGTATGAATAAATAGTACAGAAATGCTGAGAAGTTGGGATGAGATGCAGGATATGTCCCAGTGCTGTTAAAGGTGAGACTTTTTTTCTTGTCCCATTAAAACACAATGCTTACAATATGCAGCATTTTTTTAAAACGTCAAAGGACAACATAACCTAAATGCAACTACTCTTCTTTGACTTTCAGAAGCATAAATGGATTATTGTTTCCACACTGAACAATTAGTAATTTTCACAGATAGGTTAAATGACAACATTTGTATGTACAAAAACACATGGGTTTTTAGTAGATAAAATCCCCCCAGAAGAACCTGAACACCTGAGCTGGAAGTGTAAGAAAGGGTGGTCAGTAGCAACATCTTTTTTAAGAAAAATAACGGAGGAGGTTCTTGCATAGCAAGGTGTGAAGTTAAACCCAAAAGGAGCTTATCCATAAATCAGGTAAATCCCAGACCATTGTAGAACAGAAGTTGACTGTGAGTTAGTGCAAAAGCTGGTCAGGTGGGTGAGGAGCTGCAGAGAAACCAGGACTGGGAACTACAGACAGGTACCAGAGCAAGTCAGTCACACACAGCGAAAGAAAAGCCTCCTCATCTGCAATTTGCATCTTCTCGGGCTCCAGTTCATCCCTCAGGGCAGCGCTGCTCCCACAGGAAACACGAAGGCAGCCCAGGAGCCTCCCAGGGATACAATTACAGGTGGTACTCCACATTCCCAGTGCACTTGGCAAAGATCACCGAGCTCCGGTGGGCAGGGACACCTCACAAACACCTCCTGCCCTGTCACAGCTACAGCAGTCCTTTTGGCACCACTGTGGGAATGTTGTATCGGGATACCAGGGCTGGAACGCGGTCGGGTCCTGCTCCCCGGCCATTCCCACCCCTGTTCCTTGCAATCCCTACACTCCTGCACAGATCCCCAAAGTGTCTCACACACGTGGCAGCGCACACTCAAACACACCTACGGCTGTGGGGAGAACAATGATCTCCATTTATTTTGTTTCATATACATCCATATTTTGAATTTTAATACAAAAGAAAAAAAATTAGAATCTGACAAATGTTTACAAACAAGATACCTTCAAATAGATTTTACTCAGTTCAGTCTGGTGCAGAGTAAATGACAAATTGTACTGTTTGTTATATTCAAGGCAACAGAGTCTGTAGTCCATGACCACTCAGCCCAACTTTTATGCAAGCTTGTTTTTATCTACCATGAATGATAAACTCCTTGTTGATTCCCAGTCCTGTGTGTGTGCACATGTGTACATAGCAGCTCCTTTCATAGAAAGAAAAGACATCTAGAGGTCTTCTTGTACTTTTACCTACAGGAATCATGTTAAGATACAGAATGGATTACATGGAACCGGGGCTGGATTTTATAAGAAAAAATAATTAGCTGACAAATGAGGGCAGCAATAAAAAAGCGTCTTTTTTGCAACAATAAATAAATACAGTCAAAGTTTTCTGTGTGGACTTTAAACCAGCTTCTTCACTGAAGAACAGACGTGGCATTTCCATGGAGTTAAACGTGACCCCATTTACTGTATCTTTTTTCTTGCTCTCTTTCTCTCTCTCTCCTTCAACAAAACAAAGTTTTCCTGCTTCTGCCACAATAGTACAACAATTTGATCTTGACAAGAAAGTGGTGCTGCTGATTTTTATTTCTTTGTCCTTTGGACAAAATAAGCCAAGAATATAATTTGACTTGTTGTGACCAATAAAAACGCAGTTTACATCAAGTCTTGTCAGGATAACCTGACTAAAAACATCTGGTTCCTTAATTAAAAATTGTCAGACAACCAGATCCTTGCTCGTGTGTTTGGTTAACACGCTGAACTCTAAGAAGCTGTAGACTGCAGTTTGTTGTTATGGGACCTGCAGAATACAGAAGAAAGTGAAGAATTAAGCACCTTTCAGTTTGGAGAACACAGTTGCTGCAAGGTGTTGCCAAAAATAAATCACAATGAGGGAATTACCACCATGTTGCTTTCATTTATTTTTTTTTCCCCTTCAGAAAAAATAATAGCTCTTGCTCTGAATTTTAAACTCATTTTCTCCTCCAGGATACAAATATTTCAGTACTTGTAAAATGCAGTGTGTCACTGGGATATTCCAAAATGCCTGAAATCAGTTTTACTCACATATTTAACATAGTAGTAGTCCATCAAAAGGAAATCAAAAAGACATTTTTAGTTGTGAATTTTTATAATAAGGTCAACTTTTCTTAAATTCATTCAATAAGTCTTTGGATTAACTTAATAGAAAAAAAACTGAACAGGCATGTTAAAATGACATTTTTGCTAAGCAGGGTTCAGCAAAACTCCTCTTTGACATTCACAGTTTTATTAGTGACTTAAACTAAAACAATAAAATACAAGGTTTCCATGATGAAATTTTCATTTTTCTCAATACAGTATTTGAGGAACGGAACAATTTTTTGTTAATACAGTTATGTTCAGCAGTGTGACCGCTGGCAACAAAAACACTTATGTTTTAGACAAATGATCTGGATTTTTAGGGCAGTTTAATGTAATTGGATTGTACAATAAAAGAAAGTGACCCCAACATCCAGTTCTGATTCCAGTTAAAAAGTTCAGACTAAAGATATCACAATCTGCAAGAAAAGAAAGAAGACGGATGGTATAAATGAAAAACAATAACAAATAAGATGCAGCAATGAAATCAGTGTGCAAGCACAGGGAGTGCTGGGGACCCAGCTAATGGCAGTGACACAAACATGGGTTGAAAACTACCTGACAAAAATCATTATTACAGTATTGAACTGGAAAGGAAAATGCATATTCTCTTTCAGGAATGTTTACCTAAGGGAAACACTTTATATCAGCCCTTCCTCAGAAAAAAAATAAATATAAAAGTTTAATTTTGAAAGGTCAATTTTGAATTATATTTCATTTTCCATACTCTACTTTAAACCTTACTTACTTCCCTATTTCAAAGGAAGTAAATTATAAAAAGA